CACTACCCCACTCAACAGTCAACCACCGACGGGCTCGACCACCAGTGCCGCCAACTCCGCGAAAACGGCTTCCGGAACGCAGGTAACCATTTCACATCCCTTTCCACTCTTATATACCACTTATCTCTACTTCTTTGCTCCCTTCCCCTCCGTGTCAACTCTATTGACAAAAAAATCAATGTTTTTATGCAATCATTGAGAGTGTAATTTAATGAATGAATGACTGACTGCGGGTATGGTTGATGGCCAGGGAGGGCAGGTGTCACCCACAGCACTGACACATAAGCGCCGTTTGTGTTGAACTTCTTGTACACGCATTCACTCCGTCTGACTATTAATTAGTTTTCAATTCAGTGTTCACTTTATAAACACATTTTTAATTATTTTCTATAAATTAACACAAAAACTATGAAAATATTTGTTATAAAAGTTGTTTAACTATAAGATTAAGGAGAATGAAGAAAATTGCTAATAATTAGATCATTAGACGGAAATATAAATTGGATTTTATTTTCACTTTATTTTTATGACATTTATTCGCGTTTTCGTCTCATTTACAACTTAAGACATAAAGCATTTGAATGAATTGATAATAGCTTTAAAAATGAGCATTAATTTAATGAATCCGAGAGACGCAAACTATTATCAATTTATTTTTTGAATTACATTTGCTGTGCAATCAATTATTGATAATTATGCCATTAAGACCATCTCTCTAAATTATAACTAAATTGAAAGTTCATTCAAATAATAAGTAAAATAAAGTGAATTCAATTTATTTGAAATATTAGTCAAACATAAGACTCAAATGTTTGAAACAAATCTTTACAACAAATCAAACATTTGAAGATATATTACAATTAAAGGAACGAAACATAAGTTTTGAAAATTTTTGGTTTTGAAATCTTTTTAATAAGAATTTATTTTTACTTTTTGTCATTCAATTAACTAAATAACAATTGATTTGATTTAACGCGAGAATACATATGTATCGCAATGTTATGTCGCGAATGAAATGTGCAAATAATTATGAAATAATAATTATTTAATTAAGTTTTAACGTATAATAAGGTATAACGAAAAAAGTAAATAAGATTGTGTCCAACCTTGACATCCATCAACTATTGCGGTTAGCATTGCTTTCACTACAAGTTATTAGCAGTGAATTAAATGAGACAAACTTTTTAAGTTTAAGCAAAATATCTGCTCATAAAATACTGGTGAGAGAGATGTGAGCGTTCATTGAAATACGATTCCTGAGGCAGAATAGCATTCAATAATAATGAGGCACTGAATGAATGGAAAATCATTTTTTGATGAAAGCATCCAAACTATCAGAACATCCATCCCTTCCGCAAACACTCATACCTTGAGGTTAGGACTCATACCTTGGGGTTAGGACTCCGTATCGGAGATCAGAGGCACTCAACTCTCACACACACATCGCAAACAAAACTCAAATTAAAAAATGCATTATATGTTTGTTAGCCACTTTGGTAAAGGGCAGGTGCTTTCTAGCTCCACGTCCCCTCCACTGCGACACTACAACTAATGTTATAAATATTAAAACTTATGAAACCAAATAAAAACCGCTATTAAAACCTTAGTTAGTCTCGCAGTCATTCAGATTTTGTTTTCCTTTTTATACATTAAGCAAATGTTGAGCACAACTGGGAACTAAACGCTTATTATATGAAAATGCTTTGTTTGTGAAGTTTTTGATGAAATGGTTGATATGTGTGATGGCAAGTGATGGACAGCCGTGTCTCATATAATTGATAATGCATTTGCATATGTATTGGTGACAGTGCCGTACTTTTACTGCTCTACTCTAGTGTAATATATGGCACAGGCTTTCAAACATTTAGTATATTTAAGTTGTATTTTGTGTACTCATTATTGAGAGTGAAGTTACTGTAGTGGAAGTGTGGTATCTGTACTGTGAGTACTGTATTTGAGTCCAATTGATGTCCTTTTATTGGATATATTGGTCTTTTGTTGATCAGATAGTAGGCATCGAGTAAAGTGTGCGGCAATTGTATTGAAATTATAATCCTTGAAAATGTGAATCCACAGCATGAGATCAACTGCTAATTGAAGATATAGGTGCAGGCATTCAGTGGTTAGTGTTGACTGAGAGTGAGTTGAGGTTGAGGTCAGGCATAAGGCATATGTTGTCAACACAGTTAAGACGCTTCCAAATACAAGTTAATGTCTCTCATGAGACACTCCAATAGCTATTTGCAAATACCAAAGGAGGCAAAGGTCGTTATCCTTTACTTCAAAAACGCACAATAAAAGTGTTGTCCATTTGAGAGGTGGGCTAACTATACAATTTTATGCCTACCATACCTGTCATACCTCACACGGCGACTAAATTTAGCTCATATTAAACGCCAACTCCTTTTCGTGTCATTCATTGCTAATTTCATTTCGAGAAGTTTTTCCCAACTCTTTCCCAAAGTTTAATTTGTCGACACTTTTGCTCTCAACAACACATAGATATTAATGCCGAGCGCTTCAGCACCATCTACGACAGGACAGGCCATTGGTGTCACACCAGCCTCTGTTACGTCCAACTCTCCCGGCGCCGGAGCTGTAACACCCGTCTCGATCACAGGCCCTCCGCGCGCCCCGTCCGGTACCACTCCGTGCTGCGAGTCTGGGCGTCCGGTGCTCACTGACCCCATCACTGGCCAAACCGTGTGCTCGTGTCAATACGACGCCCACCTACTCAACTACCAGCGCTTAGCCGCCTCGACGGGCCTACCACTCGGAATGTACGGACCGGCAGCCGCCGCAGCCTATGGTGCAGCCGCCGCCCAGGGCGAGGGTTTCCTACCCATACCCCCTGAACAGCTCCAGTCGGCCTTCTACTCTCCCACCGTAAGTCTAATCAAACGCTTATTTTGAAATATTTATGAATTGACTTTAAATGTGTTAACACTTTCTCACAACATATTACAAACATTTAGTCAGATCTCAGATCTCGAGTAAAGCAATGAGAAGTCAATTAAAATGTTGTATAAGTTTCTGTTTAATCGTTGCGTAGACTCGAGACTACACTCTAATACCTCATTCAATGACCTCATGTATGGCTTGAAAAAAGTCGACCAAAGAGTAAAGTAAATGCTTTTTTGCGATCAAAAAATAAAGTTAAAACTAAAACTTAAGTTTATATACAGAATAAGTTGTCGAGCTTTTAGTATAAAATGTTTGTTACTATCGCTGACAAAATAAAAAAAAGTAAAATATCTGACAAACTCTAACTCAAAACTCACGGGCACTGAGACTGTGTACAAGTGAGTGAATGAGCCCATGAGCCCAACAAATCAGATAATAACAAAATAATTTTTTCGTTATCTCTCATTACTTTTTAGAAACAGGCAAACAGTGCGGATATATTGCATGAATGGCATATAAATTACACTCAAAGGCGAACTGATTTCAATCAGTAATGACACTTGTCATCAGACACACACCCAAACATCACATCTATTCATACCATTACATATAAATTCGCATTTTATATATATATTATACAACTCTCTATAACTATATCTATGTTTTACTTGACTTGAGTCAAGAGAGAAAATTTTTAGTTTCATTGAATTAACCAGTTTTTGATACCATAAGAGTTTTGGCACTAACGTAAGTCTATAGTTTTGTAAGAATTATTATTGAGTTACAATTTTTACAAATTTATGAGGAATATGGTAGGGCTTAAAGGAGGTACAGACAAATCTATATGCTGTTTTTCATTTAGACTAGTGGCTAATAAATATTTAATTACTTATTCTGTATAAACTACAGAATAGTTAGTGTAGAATGGGTTCACTCCTTGTGCAGTATAGCGATAGAGGTGGTATCGTTGATATGACTTTTGGTTCAAGTAATCAAACATGAATCTCTCTCTCTCTCTCTCTCTCTCTCACACACACACACACACACACACACAACATGTATATCATTAGTATAGGTTCTTCTACTTTGTAATGCTATTAAACAGCATTTTTGTTCATTTGTTAATGTCGTCAACATTTGATGAGCACATACTCCTCACAAATACACACAAATGTTAGACTTAATGTCAACATAAACTCATTCTCTGTTATATAGAGAGTAGGAATAAAAGTGAACTGAATATTGAGAGAAAGATTTTATTGGAATCGTTGCAAACATTTCTGTCTTATAATATATGTGAGCAAAACATAACCCAAATTACAAATACATTGACATAGACTACAGACACGACTACTATAGAGTGATGTCCGCACCAAATGCTCAAACAATTGATATCTAATACAATGTGATATATATTTCAGGCAAATGGCTTTGACTTGAAGGAGAACCTGGAGGCCTGGAGGAACCTGCCCTACGCGGCCGCCGCATCCATGTATTATCCCTACGATGGAGGAGCACTGGCTGGTTATCCATTCGCTAATGGGTATGAATTTGTATTCAACCTATAAATACATATATATTTTAGTTTTCATATAAAACTCAATTGAAATAAAACTAAAAATAATAGATAAGAGAGCGCTTCCAGTGCTGCATATAATCTCATATAAACTACAAGTGCGCCGACATATACACACTTACGGTGACAGTCAAACACTCGATAGACTAGAAAAAATATATTAAGTATTAATGGGAGACAAGAGTTTAGGCTAACTTATCACTAATGCCTAACCCATGTATTCAACTAAAGAAACAATTTTCTTGTGAAACACTCTCTCTCTCTCTCTCTCTCTCTCTCTCTCACTCTCTCTTTTGTTAGTTTTATTTTCTAATATATTCTTCCTTTCAATACTTTTTTCTTGAATTCGTTATGTATTTGTTAAAAAAAAGTATAACTAAAATAAAATAAAGAGTAAAAGTGTATAAAATTTTTGCTGCAAATGTAAGGAGAACTCAAATCTGCATCTCTTTAATGTATTGAATGCGAAGCTATGCTATAGTATAGCGACAGATGTTTTGCCGGCTTTTGCTAATGGGATCACTCACTACACACACCATTCACACCAATACTATTGGAAATGTTTTATTTCTCCAAACGTAGCATCACTTGCACGGGTAGTAAAGGAGGAGAACATTCCTCTGTATATAAACAGTATATAACAGAATATACAGAATATATAACAGAATAACTTAATCTCATTGAGAGTCACATTAGGCAGAGTAGCACTCACTCTATGCTTAGATTATTTATTTAATGCCATTTGAAATTGAAATCTTGCTTTCGGGCTCTCGATTGTGAGTCCAAATAGCGTGACATAAACTGTATATATTTTTTCTTACTTTTTGTGTCTCTCTTTTAATATACAGTATTAGTGAATGAATTGAAAAGTGAATGCATTCGTAGAATAACGTCATTATAACAAATTGGATCAAAAATGTCATACGAATGAATCGATTCACATATTATTCTCATTACAACTAAACGTGTCATTCATTTATTGTCTCCTCGGAAGCGAACTTTCTTTTATGAAACACAAGTTATGTTGAAATAAATTATAGGCCAATCGATCTTAATTATCATTGATCTCAACGATTATAAGCGAATTCTCTCCGCAAAAATAACTACAAATTATGAATTTTTATTAGCATTTATTTTCCAAGAGATTAATTATTGTCAAGAAGTGCGTGAAGTTTTGTTTCATAACTTTTTCTCCGCTTGTTTTCCAAATGCATTGCACTTTGAATTTGAAATGAGTCTCAAAAAAGCAAATTTCGAGACATTTTTAACTACAGAATTCACTGTATGTTTAATGTTCACAAAACAAAGTATATATATCATGGAGAAAGTATTCCTTAAAAATAAAACTTTTTTCGTAGTCTAGGGTTTAAATTATGGCAAAAATCATGTGCTTTGAAAGTAACTTATATCAAGATAACTAAAGCAAAAAACACATTATTTATTTGAAGTGTTAGTTTGAAAAAGAAAATCTTTGTCATAGGAATAAACACTAAACATTCAATTTAACACAAGTCTCATGAAATAATTATGAAATTTTACTTTTCTCGTTTAAATTACTTTTTTATTTGAATGACTTGAAAATTAATAAATTTTAGTATAATTAGAATCTAAAGAAATTAATTACACGAAAACATGTGTTCATTATTTCTAAATTATAATAACATTTATTTCTACAAAATGAAGCGAAAAACTAATGTCTTCTCAAACTGTTTGGCAATTATCCAATCGATCATTAATTTCAATGTTTCTAATATTAAACTAAAGCAGAAGTTGTTTAACTTTTTAAATAATTTTAAAAATATAATTCAGTTTTTAACTCAAAAGAAAATTAAATCAATTTTTACAAAATCAAAACCCAGTCATTAATTTGTTATTTAAATTTTATTAACTTAAGTGGTATTTATTCAGTGCTTAACATTTTAGCAATTTTTTTCTTATCTCCGTTTTCAAGCATTTGGCAAAACATTTGCATTTGTTATTTAAGTGAAAAAGTCTCGATTTTGTATTTTAATGACATTTTCTTGAGAATATTATTTTTTCTCTCATTCCTTATTCCGTACAATAGGTTTCTTGTTATCAGAAAAGATTAGTATATTTCGGGGCATTAAGTGCTATATTTCCTAAATGTGAACAAATGTTTAATTCCTACTTCACTGACATATTCACGAAAATCTGCGACAAAATTCTTTTCTATATATTATAATAGAATATAAAGTGTAAAACTATTGAAGCCATAAAAGAGGGCTATTTATAAGGATATAATGATTGTTGAAAGTGAAAATAAATGGCAAAACTGATGGTGTGATTGTATGTACGGCAGGTATGGCATGGATTTGAATGGCGCTCGACGTAAGAACGCCACCCGAGAGACGACAAGTACTCTGAAGGCATGGCTGAGCGAACACCGCAAGAATCCCTATCCCACGAAAGGCGAGAAGATAATGCTGGCTATCATCACGAAAATGACTTTAACTCAAGTGAGCACTTGGTTCGCAAACGCCAGAAGACGGCTCAAGAAGGAGAATAAGATGACGTGGTCTCCGAGGAATAGGTGCGACGATGACGACGACCCCGACGCCAAAGACGGCTCCGGGAGCGGCATCAACGACAGGGACGGAGAGGGCAACTCTCACCGGAGAGATCGCGATGAAGGTCAGTACAGCCTGTCTGTCATTGTTTAAATGACATTGTTTAAATTTCGTTTGGGTTTCCAATTAGTGTTAGTGTCCGACAAATTTCTCTGTAGTGGCAGTCAGTGCTCACCCCTAACACAATGCATGTCCTGTGCTGTGGGCTGTTAGGCAGCAGTGCAGGTGATGATTATACATTAGGTTAACCTGTGTTAATGCCGCTCTTATATGTACAACAGTTGGAAAGGGATGTGAGAGTTAGTTGACTGCCAGCCGAGCGTGTAATGACATTTGCGACCAAAATATGACTATAGAAATAGTGTAGACATAGTGTAGAACTCGCATTAGCTGTCGCTCTCATTGCACAACATATGATAAGTTATATATATTTTAGTCTTTTTAGTTTAGCTAAGTATATGCAAAAGCACAGCACACGGGCTCTAAGGAGCGCCTATAGCTCGGCGTATGGATTGTACAACAATCGCATTGNCTCATTGCACAACATATGATAAGTTATATATATTTTAGTCTTTTTAGTTTAGCTAAGTATATGCAAAAGCACAGCACACGGGCTCTAAGGAGCGCCTATAGCTCGGCGTATGGATTGTACAACAATCGCATTGTAGTGTCACTGGTATTGGTCTCTAATTTAGTCTTTGTTGCCTGCATTTTAATTCTGATGTCCCACTCCCGTCCCACTCCAGTGATTGTGTGGTTGTATTACAAATAATTATTTATAGTCGAATAAACTACCGATGCTTTTGAGCACAACCTATTGTTTTATTCTACTTTTGATGACATTCTTTGAGAATCCTAATGCAAAACACAATGATATCTCCAAAATTAATTAGCCGTCCGATGCAGTGCCTGTGCTATGGCTATAGTAGGTACCCCTCTCTACTAGGCATACAATTCCGTGACAGTCGTTAGGCTTAAGAGTCTTTGTTTATCACTTGAAATATGAGTTTTACATCAAATCAAATCATTTTAATGTTTCTCTTTATTTGTCGTGTCTTTTATGTGTTCAACGCTTTTAAGTTCATTGGACTAAAAGCCAGACAAACGCACAATACATCTCTCTTTTGTGTTCACTTTTGTCTCAATTATAAACTCTTCTGACATTTCAGGCGATTCTGATATCGTCGACATTGAGGAAGACTCCAATCCTGACGGACACTCCGGCAAAAGGCGTGACACCGGCTCACCCCTGTCCGACGTGGGCTCCCTTTCCGATATCGGCGACTCGGATGCCTCGCAATCGGCTAATAATGGGAACCCATTGAACAGCCACTCATCACATCTGCACCCACACCATACCATACCCATGAATAAGCCAAGAATCTGGTCGATTGTGGACACGGCTACCAGTAATAACAGTTCCTCATTATTACCGCTACCACCGCATGCCGTGAACAAAGCAATGGTCGGTAATCCCAGTGCAGGACTGGGAGCCATCTCGCCATCAGCCGCTGCCATAGCAGCCAATAGAGCCGCACGTCTCGACTATTTATCTCCGTATTCAAAGCCAGGCGCTCCTCACTGGTACAACCCGGCCAACTTCGGTGGGCCCCCACCCGGCGCCGCATTCTCGCCTTTATATCCATGTCCTCCCGGAGCAATCATGGGTCATCTCACAGTACCTCCCGGTGCCCACAACAGTATACCCCCACATATCGCGGCGGCCGCGGCCGAGTCATCGCTGAATAGGTTACGATCGGCGGCCGCGGCAGTGGCCGGGGTGTCAGTGTCGGGCTCTTCTCAGGACAACATCGCGGCCATCAATAAGACGATCACAAGCATTGGTGAGCGAACCGCCAACGGAAGTAACATTAGTAGCAAATCATGACAATTGTGATCATCTCTTAACTTATATTAAATATGAATGAAAACTCATGAAAAACATTTCTATAGTATTTGGCCTCACATTACACTAAACGGCTTATACTATAATTGTACAGAAAATTGAGAAAATATTGTATAATATTGTGAGACTACTCTCATGACAAGTATTTTGTGGTTCACTTCAATACGATTGATAGCAATGTATTGATGTATTGAGATGTCTGTGAATTAACTCTTTGTAAAGCATATCAAATGTGCGCCTATTTTGCAGTTATATGTTATATCCGAGTGCCGTCTCCATTGACTCCAATGACAATATAGTACATGAATGTAATGGTAGTGGAAGTGAATGGTGATGTAGTCCAGCCCCGACATCATCGTTCAACTCAATGCTCTGTTATATCAATGATTGGGTTTTACATCTGCTATGAGAATGTATTGCCTTCACGTTAAGGTCAGTCTATTATACGGGAATTGAGGACAAGTAATATAATTATTATCTAAATTAGTGGATGAGAGGGCAGACACTATAACTAGAGTTGCCATCAAATAATGCTCTATTAGTAGAACATAACACTAAACTCTATACCAAATACATACAAATATACCAAACAGTTATTATAAGTGCACTAATGTTGTGCACATAAATAGATAACACAATAATAACTAATAAGTCATATAAAGTACAGAATTCCGTATAACTCATACATGAATAGGCGATCGATTGGATGATAATTTGATATTAGGCTGAAAGACATATAAACTAACATTTGAGTGACGAATCACAGGACATACAAAACTAACTTATATTCTATACATAAGACAAACTAAATGCACAAATATTTGTGAGAAATGAATAAGTTTTTATTTTAATGATTTCTAACTTTGTATATTTAATTTGTTCGACACATTCAACAATGTATTTCAAATGTACTACCAATTGAATGTACTAGTTCATATTTGAAACATTATATTAAATCTCTTTGCATTCATTCATCTGTTTGTTTGCAATAAATATTCTAATATTTCATATAAACTGATCAAACATTTGTTAAATATTAGAGTTATTTCTTATTATGATTTCAACGCCTTTTCAGTTGTCAATGAGTTTAA